TATTTATGCTTCAAATCCCAGAACATCTTTTATTTTGTTGTTTGTTTTTGAAAGGTATTTGACATTTTAATAATATAAATTTACAAAGTTTGAACACTTGATGCTTATAAAGAATATAAAAGAGTTATTTTTCCTTGTAGGATTGTGTTTTGCACCACACGGCCTTTAGCTGTGGACACCGTCGGGATTTCAGTCCCCTCCAAAAGTTAATCAGTTGTTGACGTACATCTAAGAATAATTTGTTTTTCTTAACTTTGCGTTTAAAATTCTCTTCTCTCTCTCTCTCTAGCATCTGAGTCGTGCGGCGGGTACTTAGACGCGAGCGACGCCGGCTACATCACCACCCCCGGCTACCCGCTGGAATATCCCCCCCACCAGAACTGTCACTGGGTCATCACAGCCCCCGAGCCTTCGCAACGCATCGTCCTCAACTTCAACCCGCACTTTGAAATAGAGAAACTGGATTGCAGGTAAGGGCTGCATGGATGRTGGGAAAAAAAGTTGTACAAGAAGCTAAACTGGAGCTAAAAAGTTTTTTATTTTTTAAATTTTCATCTCGCCTGTTTGTGCCTGAGAGCTGCTGGGTGYGCTCGGTAAACTTCGGCCCACTCTCCTTCTGTTTCTCTGGCTTTCTCTCTGTCATAATAATCACTCTGGGACCTCCCTTGGTCCCCTGCCTCTAATTATCAAAGTCTAATTACAACACATTTACAGTTCCAGCATTGGTTTTCACACTTTGGATGTCCTAAAACAGATTAAAGGATTTGGTGTTCATCGTTGTTTTTCGGCTGTTTGGCTTCGGGTGCACACTGAGGCTGACGTGGAGGCAGCATGAAAGATGAATTTAATTGAAAATAATTGTATTGTTGGATGAGAAATTCCAAGAGGGAATGGTGTGCTAATTATAGTTTGTGTTGAGAGAAGATGTCTGAGGACACAAAACACAGAATCAAAGCTCAAATACAATATTTTTTTTCTGTTTCAGCATATCCACTTATTAATATTTGACTATATCAATTATTGATATGTGAATTTTTCCAACTCAGATGAAGTGATTCTGACAATAGTTTTTATTGTTGGAAATGAAGCATCAATGGGACTGCCCTCACTGACTACGCAACTGAATGAGCATCAGGTAGAACTGAGGCACTCCGGTTTCTTATTAAAGGGATCCCCGATCAGTCGTAACATTAGACTTTATTTGATAAACATGTATTTTATCTGTAAAATAAAGACTATAAAAATACTGTTTAGTTTTGTAAATTTAAAAATATATATTTTAACAAGGACCGAGCCATTTTATCCATCCATCCATCCATCCATTTTCTGTACACGCTTCTTCCTTTTCAGGGTTGCGTGGCAGCTAGCGAGCTATATCCACCCTGACGTTTAATCTTGGACAATATCTGATGATCGACTCTTTTAAATGAAACCAGAGAGCGTTGACAGAGAGGAGAAGGTAGAAATGACTCAGCCTGGAACTGAAAATATGGATGGAGGACAACAGAGCTGCTTCATGGAAGAAGAACCTCAGCTTAGCCTGTTAGCCTTTGTGCTAGCACTGACACTTTATTGCCTTATATGTATTAGCTCGGCGCTAACGTGACAAACAAGTTGTCCTCCATCTGTATATTCAGTTCCAGGCTGAGTCATTTCTACCTTCTCCTCTCTGTCAACGTTCTCTGGTTTCATTTAAAAGAGTCGATCATCAGATATTGTCCAAGATTAACCTTCAGGGTGGATATAGCTCGCTAGCAGCCTCGCACCGAGGACCTATCCACGTCATCATTTACCCAGAATGCTTTGCATGTAAACAAAATGGCCCCGTCCGTGTTAAAATATATTTTTAAACTTTTAGTTTAAAAATTAWAAAAACTAAACATCCTACAGTATTTTTACAGTCTTCATTTTACAGTTAAAATATATGTTTACTAAATAAGGTCTAATGTTACGACTGGTCGGGGATCCCTTTAAAATTTAATACTTTAGGTTCAGAATATTATAAACATTATTAATTAGTAGTTTTAACACTGTGACACACTGTTTTAAACCTTGAAACTGGCTATCAGCCCTGCCTGAACTAGCCTATTTTTAAGTAGATGAAACAGAAAGCCACTTTTGTGTAGAAATAAAAATTAAACATACTTCCCTATTTCTGGTTTGCAGATGACGTAGTATCGACGTCATGAATTGTAAACTGGGGACAGGAAGTAAATACAGCCCTGTTTTCAGTGTCAAAATTAGGGGTGCACCGATATGAAAATTTCAGTCGATATCCGATATAATTATTGCTGTTATGGCCGATAACCGATATTTATCGATATTACACAAACACACAAATTATGTTATACGTATACGCACAAACAAACTTGGGTTATTTTTTGATACCGTAAACAAACAAACAGAGCTCTGACATGGCTCCCTGCTTCAGATACTCCTGGCTACGCAGCATCAGTATCACCATCATGATCAAAGAGCTGCCGCTCAACCAACCGTTTCCCCTCCCAAAACAGAAACACAAAGATAAAAAGTRGGAAATCAATATCGGATGTTAATATCGGCCCAGTTTTACATATCGGACCGATATGATATTCTAAAAAAATGACCAGTATCGGCCAATACCGATATGAATGCCGATATACCGTGCATCYCTGGTCAAAATGTCTGAATTCTGTGCCGTGTATGGTTGTTGCAACCGCTCTAATCAGGAGAAACRTAAGTTTTTTTCGCGTTCCGAAATTAGTGTGTCTGAAAAAAAGATGACAAAAGTGGATCAACAATCTGCTGCTACAAACAGGAGGTGCGGAAACAGATAATGCAATAGTTTGCAACAGGTAAGGACTGTATTGTTTAAATCCTTTTTTTTCCACATATTTTCCTGGACTGTTACTTAAATTTGGGTTTACAGAAGCTAAATAAATTATTTCGACGTAGACCCAAGCACATAGGGTTACAGTGGTTAACTTAGCGTTAGCGATAGCCTTGTTATTGTAGGCTAATTATTTAAAATAGCACAACTCACTCCTCACCCGGGCAGAAACAAGTTAACAGACATTTAAAGCTTCTTTGGATCCTAAATGTTTGACCCAATCTGAAACAAAGTAATTGTAGCTTGGAGGCTTTTGAAAGCTTTCATCTGGCTCGTTGTATAATACGAGGTCTATCGCCTCAACGCCGGGTTAATCCTCCCAAGTCTTTTTTGTTAAGACAATATGGATCAGATCCTAAATATACACATTTTTAATGCTACCTCGTCTGCACCAGCMCATTTAGCGTACTCGCAGTGATCCGTTTTATTGTGTTTTGAACCAGAGCAAATCCCCATCTGAATTTTTCACGTCATCTGGGTCACGTGACTGAAACCCAGCATGTCTCTTAGCCCATCATCCCTTTTTTTGTATGAAACATTTACTGCATTGATGGGATTTAAACTGTTTCTTTTGCCATTTTATCCTAGATTTTTTTTAATTTTTTTCCTGTTCCTGTCCCACCCCCACCCCTTTGACTTTCTTACAAGTTTCCCAGTAGGATAAAATGCAGTAACTGCAAGAAATAGCATCTTCTGCTTTATTTATTATAGTGCATTCATTATTTAAAAAGAGTATTAGGTCTGTTACGGGCTGTTTTGGCCTAATAATTACAAGAATCGTTTGTTAACACATTATCCATCTTGTGCAGACTAAGTCATTTAGATTTACAAGTTTTGGTTCCTGAGTGTCTTTGTCTCTGTCTTCATCTCTGGATGAAGTCCAGAGTCTCTCTCCCGTCCAGAGGACCTATACAATTTTTTTTCCTTTTGATTTTTTACCTGGATTACTGAGATGCATCAGGACATTCATCTCTGGATGTTTCTTGCATTTGCTATGGTTATAAGAACATTGGGCATGTGTTGTTTCTCACAACTTTGAGGAACAGAAAAACTGATGCTAATCTCTATTTCGAGGACAAAAACACAAACTTGTCTCGCAGGGACAAAGAAGTCTGCTATGTTTGCAATCAAAACCTACTTTATGAACAGCCACAGGGTTTCACACAGTCTCATTCTAGCATATAAAAAAACTCATGATACAGTGTAACACAATCTGTCTCTTTTGTAATAAGTTATCAACACGGAGACGAATTCAGTCACAAAAGTCTAAGATGGGAATCTGCATGTTCTTTTTTTTTTGATGATCAGACTAAATCAGTCCCTCCAGTAGGTTACAATAATGTGATTGCAACTTTTAATTCAAATCACCCTATTCTCACAAATTTCGATCAGTCTCGTAATTTTGATCAATCACCGCAACCGTTTTGCAAATTTGACCAATCATCGAAGTTTTCTGCCGTTTTCCAAGTTTTGGAATTTGAGTCTGCAATTTAAAAATGTTCAAAGCCAGAAAATCACATTTGATATCAAATTATGCTGCAGAAATCTGTGCAGGTAACTTTGCAAGTAAAAGGAATTTCGTTTTTTATGTCAGTAACAACGCATGACATAAAAAAGTGCAACAGAAATAACCCGTTAAACTGATTCACTGATTTTATTCATCACATTTCAGTGTCTTGTTTTGCAATTAAATTCCCTAAACTTTAAAGAAGTAAAGTTTCAAAATGTTACAACTTTGATGACAACTTTGTTACAATCAGACATTTCAGGCAACAAATAATCTGCTAAATTTAGGAGGGACTGCACGTGATCATCTTGGTGCTGATAGTGATCTTTATTTATAAATTTTATCAAACATATTGCAGGTTTTAAAGTCAAAATTAGTGGAGAAAATCAACAAATTTCACTGGGATTCATGTAAAAATAATTTCACTAAAAAGAAACAGGATGGAACTGAGATATGAGGGAAAATACAGACCAGCTAATACCCTAAMCCTAGCTAAACCAACTGCATCTGCAGACAGAAAATATCTTATTACGGCTTCTATTTTTCCCATTCTCATGACTGTCGCTGTACAATTATAGATCAGGACATTAAGGAAAATGGGTTTCAGTTAGAAATGTGCCGCGTCTGTACTGTGTGAGTATGATTCATGGAGTGTTTGTAAACCACGCGGCAGACTGGTGCAGAAAGAAGAAGCTTTGTGTCTCTGTGCGTCTTCTAGTTTTTGCCCCGAAATGTTGTGAAATAAAAGAAAAGCATTAAGAAGTTTGTATAAAGCTTGCTTTGTTGCAAACGGCTTAAAGTGCATGTGAAAGT